CCCCGGAGCCGCCCCGGGGCGGCCGCCACCTGCCTGGGAGCCGCGCTGAGCTCGTCCCTCGCCATCCCTCACCCCTCTCCCTCCTCGCCCCGCTCTCCCTGCTCTCCGCCCGCGCAGGGCTGCGGGGCCGCTCGCTGCCGCGCTGACCAGGGCGGGCTCGCCAGGTCTGCTCGGAAACACATTGAGCACTTTCATCTAGATGAAGGGCTTCCCGTCCGCCGCTTTCCTTCTCTTCGCCAGAGCGGGGGGGCTAGGGGGAAGATTTAGAGGTTTGTCACCCACATACTTCGCTGCTCCCCCTCCCCCCATTTTTTTCAGTTTAAATGCACCCAGCATTAAATAAAATTTAATGCAGCGTAAAAAAAAAAAAAAAGATTTCCACGTACGGAGTTATTTATACTCAACAAACAGGACATCTGTTTTTCTTTTCAAAAATCTGGGGTTTGAAGTTCTTAATTTCATCCAGAGTCTCTATCAAAGCTCCGAGATTTCTTTTTTGTTCTTGGAGAGCGATCCTTACAGTGAACCACAAAGAAAGTTGGTGACCAGAAGGGTCAATTAAACGAAAAAAAAGAGATAGAATTAAAAGAACAAATCACAGTGAGCACGCAGATACTCTATGATACTGCACATCTTCATGCATCCCTGTATTTCTAGATTGCTAGGTTGCATTCTGGCTATGCTGCTGGAACCAAAATCACAGGCCTAGTGAGGCAGGAAGAACTTGGCCAGACTGTTTTGAAGTATTTGTTGCTGAGATTATTAGTCTTTCCCCGGGCATATCAGCAGTGACAGCACCGACACTTGATTAGTATCGTAACACCTGCTAGTGCGGCGGCGGCCCCTCCTTGATGCTAGGGCTGAATTTTCCCCCATCCTGCTGTGGCCTCTGCCCCTGCCGCCCCTCTCCGCGAGCTGCCACCGCGGGAGCGCAACCGCGTTGGCGCTGGGGGCTCGGGCGCAGGAGCTGGGCCCAGAGGGGCTCCCCGGAGCGAGGCGGCTCGCGGCGGAGGCAGCGGCCCCTGGGCAGGGGCGCCGCGGGTCGCAGGGGCCTCCCCACTGCGTGGTCGTGGGTAGTTCGTGGG